GAGGATGGGGAGGAGGGGGGGGGGGAGGAGAAAGGAGAGAAAAAGAAAACAAACATTTTCGGTCCTGTCCACCCATCCGCCTTGGCCTGCCACCTGGGACTGTGTCAGAGCCCTCAGGGCCCGGGGGGCGGAGGTCACCTGCTGCCCCAGATTGCGCTGCTCTGGGACACTTTTGGGACGCACTTGATCCCTGGGAGGCAAAACAAAACAGAAAACGACCAAGGGAAGCCAAGGCCAGGGCAGAGCCGGCGGGAGGGGACGCGGCGCCGTCCCTGGGGCGGGACCCACTTCTGACCTCTCCAGGCAAAACCAGGCGTTGGCCTCCGGGTCGGGTCCACAGAGGCGGCTGGCACCTCGCGAGGCACCATGAGCGGCCGCGTCGGGGACCTGAGCCCGCAGCAGCAGCAGGCGCTGGCCAGGGTGAGGGCCCTGGGGGACGGGGGTGGCCGGGCGGGGAGGGGCGCGCGGCCCCACGCTGCTGGATCGGCTGGGACAGGGTCGGGGCGCGCAGGAGGCCCTGGGAGATCCCTCTCTGGGCCGCTCCCTGGGGGTGTGGGGACAGAGTTGGCTTGCCACCCCTGCCCTGGCCCTGGGTCCCCCCTAGTGGGGGAGAGGGTGGCGCTCTTGTTTGGCTCCTGGGGACCTGGCCGCCAGCAGATTCCAGAGAGCCCTGCCAGATTGCGCCATTCTTTTGTTTGATTTCTTTTTTTCTCTCTCTCTCTCTGTGTTCCAGGCCTCAAACCTATTCCCTTCGGCTTAACTCTTTGAATAGAAGGGAAATGGAGGGGTTTGGGGTTGGTTTGAGGACTGTCCTGCAAACTGTCCCTGAGAGCGACAATGATCACAGACAAGGAAAGGCGAGACTGCCCCCAGAATCTGGCTCAGACTTGGGTCTGTGAAAGAGTAGTGGAGAATCCTCAGGCCCAGAGACCCAGGTCTGTAATCTTAGTAATCAGAGAGGCTGGAATTGGGAGGATCGTGGTTTGAGGCCAGCCCAGGGCGTGTCCCCCACCCCCCCAAAAAAAGTTCTCAAGACTCCATCTCAATGAATCAACTGGGCACCATGGCACACTGTCAACTCCTCTATGCATGAAGCTGAGATCTGGAGGATGGGCATTCCAGGCGCCCACCCAACCAGGAAAGCAAGATCTAGTCTCCAAAGTACTCAGATCAAGCCTGATGCTGGTGGCTCACGCCTGTAATCCTAGCTACTCAGGAAGCTGAGATCTGAGGATCATGGTTCAAAGCCAGCCTGGACTGGAAAGTCTGTGAGACTCTTACCTCCAATAAACCACTAGAAAACCTGGAAGTGGTGCTGTGGCTCAAGCAGTAGAGCGCTCACCTTGAGCTGAAGAGCACAGGGGCAGCGCCCAAGCCCAGACTGGTTCAAGGCCCACAACTAACAAAAAACACCACCACAAGTACCCAGATCAGAAAAAGGCTGGAAGTGCTGCTCAATGGTAGAGTGCTTGCCTAGCAAGCACAAAGCCCTGAGTTCAAACTGTGGAATGTATGGTCATCAAAAGAAACCATCAGATTTGTGGTGAATTTATTTTGAGGTGTCTCCCTTAGGGGAAGGCTTCTCCAAGGAGAAACGAGGCCCCCCATAAAGGCAATAAAAGAGGGGCCCTGGCTGGGTGGCTGGTGGCTCACATCTGTTAGCTACTTAGGAGGCTGAGATCTGAGGATGATGCTTTGAGGCCAGCCTGAGCAAGAAAGTTTGTGAGACCTTTTTTTTTTTTTTCTTGCCAGTCCTGGGGCTTGAACTCAGGACCTGGGCACTATCCTGAGATTCTTTTGCTCAAGACTAGCATTCTACCACTTGAGCCACAGCACCACTTCTGGCTTTTTCTGTGTATGTGGTGCTGAGGAATCAAACCCAGGGCTTCATGCATGCAAGGCAAGCACTCTACCACTAAGCCACATTCCCAGCGCCCTCCATGGAACTCTTATCTCCAATGAACCACCAGAAAATTGGAAGTGGCACTGTGGCTCAAAGTGGTAGAGCACTCACCTTGAGCCCCCGGCCCTGAGTTCAAGTCCCACAACCAACAACAGAATAAAAAGTGGGGCCTTCTTGTGACAGAAAGGGGTTTTCAGGAGGAGGCTAGGACCCCGGGTGAAGAAGAGTTCCCCAGTGAGTTCTATCCTCTGCACTGAGGGACACAGCAGGATTCTAGGCATTGTGCTCATGGGGCGGGGGTTGGGTGGCTGGATAGCTGGTCTTTGGGGGTGAATTATGGTGAAGATACCTTATATGCTAGAGCTTCAAGCAATGTAAAAAAGTTTATTTTTACATTTTATTACTATGATTTAAAAGTAATGAAAGCTTAGTTTTTTGTTTTTTTTTTTGGTCGGTTGTGGGGCTTGAACTCTGGGCCTGGGCGCTGTCCCTCAGCTCTTCAGCTCAAGGCTAGTGCTCTACCACTTGAGC